TAGATGTTGCTTAAATAGGGTGGTTGAAAATTTAGCCTAAATGTTCAGCGAGACCCCTAAACGTTCCCTAAATTTAGGGCTAAATTTAGCCCTAAACGTTCCCAAACTTTCACCACTAACATCTCTACTCTCAACTTGTTAGAAATGTAAGTTTGGGAAAGTTTAGGGCTAAATTTACCCTTTTAATGAACGTTTAGGGTCGTTTTGAATATTTAGATTAAAGTTTTATCCACGTTATATTAACGACATCAACATTACTCATATTTACTAAATAAATCACTAATTTGTGCAATTTAATCTAAATTAACTATTATTTATTTAAATATATATAAATCATAATACTTTTTATTTATCGAAAATCTATTATTACTTTGTAAAATTAATTATTATGATCACAAATATAATGATTGGAGTAAAAATGTTTATAGAATCCATGATAGAATTTTCAAGAATTTGTAAGAATTTTTAATAAATTGGAAATATTTAAAGAACCAAAAGATTTGTTGATATTATCTAAAATAAAACATATACTAATTAGTTTGATGACTTTATATTTCACTGCATTAAAAGTATCTAGTTGAAAACCTATGAAAATTTCACATTTTTGTGAAAATTTAAATTTAGCCTAAATGAAATGTTGACATGAAAATTTTAATCCCTGATAACAGTTTACTGCGCTATTGTAATCCACTAATAGTACTGTACCGTACAGTCTAATTTTAATTTTTATTGAAGGATATTCTTATAATATAAATTATTCAATATTATACAATTGATCGCTGGCTGTATCAATGGGTTTGACTGTATTGTCCACTTATTTTATCCCAAATTAAATGTCTAAAACTCTTTAAATGACATCATATTTGTTGTGTTGAGACAAATGTTGGCCACAAATGATGTATCATTTGGCAAATTAATTAAGTCATTGAATTACTGTATCATTTAGTTATCATTGATTAAATATAATCTCATAACAATCACAATTAAAACCATTTACAAATGACAATGGTTTAATGTTATGGGGATGTTTCGGTTACAGTGTATGGTGACCATGGTCCATTTCATTCAACCTTCCCCTCCCACTCGCCAACGTAACGTCATTTGTGAACCAATGTTACGCAATATATGAACGATTTGTTATGAATCATAAGTTATGAAATAAAAGTTGTATTTTATTAATAATTGACACTTTATTTTGATTATTCAAATGAATTGTTGTATACATTAAGTGACAGTTTGTGTAACACTTAATATGAGAGGTAAGCCATCCGTTGGCCACAAATGGCACACAATTTAGTGTTTATTATAATTGCATTGAATGTCTGTTTTGTATGTTTTGAGGCGAAGACACGGCTCACGACTTGTTGGAGACGGAGAACAGGCAGAGAGCCGATCGGTTGGCCACTAAGATATCGACCCTCAAGAATGTAAGACATGTCACACAATGTGATACACATTCACACGTTTGTCACCACATGTCGTGTCAGACCATTCATTACAGATACAGATATATAGACAATGAATGAGTCGTTTTGTAAATTGTATTGTTTTAGGGATTCATTGATTGAGTGTTTTGTTGGCAATTAATGTGTTGACAAATGCGGTGACAATTGTGTGTGATTTGAATTGATTGCCATATTTTGCTGTAATTAACACTTATTTCATTTGATTTGGTTTTTAATTGTCAAATAACTGGTATTTTAATGGCATTATCAGTCTTTACTCCTAATATTCACATATCGTTTGATTTGTTTGTTTCACATGTTTTACAATTAAATGAAACATTTTTATCACTTTATATTTTAACGATACATATTACAATTATTATTACAATATTATTAGTATTACAATTACAATTGAAATGCATATCTCGTAGTAATCTATGAAACATTAAATTATATAACAATTGATTTAATGGATAACAATATGTTTAGCGATGAGAGGAATGTGTATATAATTTGCGGCATTTTTATAGTGTATATAATTTATACA